ATTTTAACTGTGTTTTTCAGAACTTTACGGTCACTAGTATGTGAAACTAAAGATACTCTTTCTGTCAATGTTGACGAATCGGGGCTTGAGGAATTTCCAAGACTATTTTTTAAAATTTTATCTTTCTCACTCGCATCATTTACTTGATGTGTTTGTCCTGTTTTTAATTCCTTCTGATTTGTAGTATTTTTCTTCTTTCTTTTCGATACATGAGAACTTTTTGAAATATTCTTGTCACTGAAGATGTCAGGGTTGTCTTTCAGTTGTCTTAGTTTTGACATCTTGCTGCTAGACTCTTCATTTTTCAAATCTCGACAAGAAGATGGAGAGTGTGTTTCATTTTTCTGAGCTTTATGTACAACTTCATCAAAAAAATCACAAGCTTTTCTTTTTCTTGTTGGTAAACAAAAGTAAACCGAATGGTCAGAATTATTACAAATGCCAGCTTTTGGTCCTGAAAGAGAATAAATGAAGATTATAAATACTCACTTCCCCAAAAGTAATATGTCTGTGTTACTTTCAATTAATGTTACTCTTAAACAATAATAGACTACATTCAAAAATCATTGGTTATGCTATAAATATTTGTTTGTTGCACACTGCTACTCACATGTTACCAGCTAGTCAATACCACCCACCAACTCTTGGGCTACTCTTTACCAATAAAACGCGAGACTGACTGTCACATTATTATACCTCCTTGGCTGAAAGAGCAAGCATGTTCAGTGACAGGATTTGAACCTGTGACCTGCAGATTGTGAGTGAAGTACGAGGTCGCACTGTAAACGACTCTTTTGATATTTTTAATTTATTACGATATTGAGTTGTGATCTCTCTTCTTTTTTTTTAATATTTGTGAAAGTGCACAAATTTTTAGTTTATTCTTTTAAACAATATTTATTAGGTTAACTAACTAATAGAAATGTAGCGACTGAAACGTTAACATGTTAAAAACAATAAAAAAAATCAACATATAGCCATCCTGGTCTTTATACACTGAAACTTCAATGTGTAGCATTTTAAACATCTTCCTCAACCACTACTGTATAGATCTTGTAAGTGGTACAATATAATAACAAATACATAACAAGTAAATCAATGAAACTTTTTCACAAACATTATTATAACTGAAAAGAGTTGAGTTTCTTTTCATTGATTCATGTTAAATAATAAATATATAATGAAGCTAGTTAGACTCCTATGATTTGATTGGTTGGTGGTAAATCAACCCACTAGACAACAACACAAGGAGTATGAAGTTTCATATTCATAGTTAAAAAGTCTTGCGTGTGAAAGAAGATGGGGATGGCTTGGAAAGCTCATTTGGATAGAGCATCAGATCTATTAGTCAAAGGTCTTAGGTTCAAGCCCTGGTCCCAAGAGTTTCTTTTCACTTATAATAAAGATGTTTTTCCAACTTAAAAATATAAATAAGTAAATATTGAATTACAAAAACACTTTGTGGATTTCACCTTCAGGATATAACAATACCTTTGTTTATGTAGCTGATGGTTGTAAATGGATTAAAATGAAACTCCTCTTTCAAATACCCTTCTACAAGCAAGAAGACAAGCACAAGCTCACAGTTATCACGCTGGTGATTCGTTGGTTTGAGATGTGGAGGGCGAAGCTTGGAAGGCCCCTTCCTTTGCCAAATGTCAATCAGTTTATTAGCAGTAAGCCTTTCTTTCATTTCAGATGCATGATTGATGATTGTGTAGAGCATCTTACAGTCATGTGTTAGTTCTAGTCTTGCTCCTGGTTAAAAACACAATCAAATCATGTATGGTTAAAAAATAAAATAAATACTATCAAATTATACCTGTCCCAGAGAAGGGCTAGGCTTTTGACAGGACAATTTGAAACATATTGTACAATGAAATGGCTAAACTTATAACACGACACATTTCATAAAATTGACTTTTAATGACAAATACACGGGAAAAAAAATATTCATTCAATGCTTTAGTAATTTTCTTTTCATTCAACAAGAAATCGTCAAATGTTAATTCATGCATATTTAACTGCAATTTTACAAAAATAAATTCTATATTTATACTGGAACAAAGGTTCTGTCAAACATGTATTGTAATCTTTTTATTAAAAAAAAATCTTAACTTACTTTTTCACCTTTCTGTGACATATCTTCTGTTTATTATTCAAGTTAATATGTTCCTCACGGAAACTCTCATCTTAAAATACACTCAATGTTTTATAGGCAATGCATTTAACTTCATACAAATAATATGATTGCCACTCAAAATCTTGGCTCAAAGTATTTAATGCTTGAGTTACAATTCCCCTCATTTAAGTTCTTTTTCTTATCAAAGTATAATATTCAAAACCTCTAAGTTAGATTCTTATTTTACACAAAGTAAATTATTCAAAACCTTAGCTTATAATGCCCGTAAGTTAGATTCTTATCTTATAAACTATTAACTCCTTCCACATGGTCTATTTCAAATTGAGCAAGTTCGTAATCATTTTGTACTCATTACAGTTTCCATACTGTTACTTAATTTTTAGTTTTTCGTGTGTATTATTAAAGTAACTAAAATTTTTAGGTTCAATAACGTCAATTTGACGAACCTCACGTATAGAGTTAGGGTAGAGAAAGTAATAGATTATTATGAAATTTTACTGAAAAATAAAGTTTTATAATTATTTAGGAGGTTTCAGATGAATAAAAGAATTTTTAATCTTAACATGAAAATCACTTTGGATTCTGACTAGTAAAGAAAACTACTTGATATATTCACAGACAAATCTTTATTACAAAACCTAATTTTTTGTGTATAAAAGTCTTGCAAAGTTTTGTGAAGATACAGTTACCGTTTTAAAATTTTTTACTTGTTTTCTTTTTTTGCTGCGGACTGTCGATGACACTTAACTCTACTGCACAAATAATTTTACTTGCACCAAATAATGCACCAAAGAACACAGAATAATAACATGCAAAAATCAAACAATGTCCCATAACTATCACAATTTTTTTGCCGACAAAAGCCTTTGGAAATTGAGCTAAGCCCAGTGTGTTTCCCGTGGGAATAAAGTTTGAACTGGTTGTAAAATAAAGAATCATCTGTACAGAAAACAACAATATAATGTCATTTGATAGATTGAAACCTTGACTTTCTACTAGTTATAAATGATACAGTATCAAATGTCGGAGAGAACTATTGGCAATTTGTGAAAGACGTGGGCATGGTAAGTTGGTCTGATTTTCTATTTGATGGCTCTGTAACCAAATAAGATTGAAGGCTATACAAGTTATGCTTTGCCTGAGTGATGACAATATTATAATGAGTAATTTCATATTACTTGGAGTGGTGGTGAATAAATTAGAAAAGAGGGAAAACCTAGAGAGCAAATGTCACAATTCTCACACTAGGATAAATTTAGTTTATATTAAGTTTTTCTTGGTTCAGTGTCTAGATATGATCTATTATTTTTAGAATATATGTTTCAAAAGCTATGGGAAATAGAAAACATAAATATACTATTTCTATTCTTCTATGTTATTAAAAGTGTGCTAGTTACTCTCAAGAAAATAAAAATTGGTGAATTATATAAATGTTTAACGGGAAGAAATGGTCAATACTGATTTACTTGCTAATGGCAAGTGTAAATTTAAGAAACAAGCTTTTGTTTCAGATAAATCTAAAAATGTGCCTGCCATAATAAACTTGTCAACTTATAAAGCTTCGTGTGTATCACAATATTTACAACATACATGAAATTGATCCAAGTTAGTGGGTAACAGAAACACGTGGCACACCCTCCTCCATTGCATTATCACGAAACATGACGAGGAGTAGCTCTCTCAGTTAGAAAAAAAGTGAGACAGAAGTAAACAGACTGACTCATAACCACCCTCTGACATCATGTACAGAATCTACAAGTCTCCTATAGGACTCTTCAATCACGAGAAGTTGTAATTCTATAACATAAATAAGAAGCAGTTTCCACCATCTTGTGCAGATGAACCAACAATAACATACACAAAAACATTTTATTGACATATTATTTTTTTGCAGAGTGGCTTCTAAACACCCTCACAAAGGGTTTTGGTTGCTCTAGTTTACGTGAAGTCTAGTGTTAGAGATTAAAAATCTTGCTGCACTGGGAATATATTTTAATTACAAACTTTGCAATTCTCCCTAATCTGACCAATGGACATTAAATTAACTGTTACTAACATGATATCATGGTTTTACACATGATATCATGTTAGTAACAGTTAATTTAATGTGTTTTACACATGATATCATGTTAGTAACATTTAATTTAATGTTTTACACATGATATCATGTTAGTAACAGTTAATTTAATGTGTTTTACACATGATATCATGTTAGTAACATTTAATTTAATGTGTTTTACACATGATATCATGTTAGTAACATTTAATTTAATGTCCATTGGTCAGTATTTGTTTTACACTTGATATCATGTTAGTAACAGTTAATTTAATGTCCATTGGTCAGTATTTGTTTTACAACATTAAATTAACTGTTACTAACATGATATCATGTGTAAAACACATTAAATTAAATGTTACTAACATGATATCATGTGTAAAACAAATATGAGAGAAAAAGGTACATACTTTTTTTGTTTTTCAAATTACACAAACGTGACTGCCAGCAGAAACTCTGCATGTTGTTACACAGACTAAACAAGGTTATTAAAAAATAGCTTTTAATGTATAGTTAATAAGCTTATTCTTCAATAAATGATGCAAGCAGTAGAGATACATAAATCTGACAGAGATCAGCATAAACAGTACTTCCTACTCCATTTAACGATTATAATGCAAGCAGTAGAGATACATAAATCTGACAGAGATCAGCATAAACAGTACTTCCTACTCCATTTAACGATTATAATGCAAGCAATAGAGATACATAAATCTGACAGAGATCAGCATAAACAGTACTTCCTATGCCATTTAACGATTATAATGCAAGTGGTAGAGATACATAAATCTGACAGAGATCAGCATAAACAGTACTTCCTACTCCATTTAACGATTATAATGCAAGCAATAGAGATACATAAATCTGACAGAGATCAGCATAAACAGTACTTCCTACTCCATTTAACGATTATAATGCAAGTGGTAGAGATACATAAATCTGACAGAGATCAGCATAAACAGTACTTCCTATGCCATTTAACGATTTTAATGCTTGATAGCATGGTGAGAAATTTTTTACCACAATTAACTCTGATAAATATTTTTTCAACATGGAAAGGGCCCAGAGTTAACTCGGCAAATCACAGAGGGGTTAATAATTTTGGTGTTGGTGTTAAAATTATTGAGTACTTATCCAAAACATTCACACAACTTATCTGGCATAACAGGTTTCTGTTGATAACTAATGCCATTCTAATTGAAAGTTTTTTTTTAACTAACCTCATCATAAAGCAATCCTGAAATTCCTGTGATTTTTTCTATTGTTGTTTTCCTAGTAGTAATGATGTGGTATATATTGTTAGTAAACTCATTACAGAATACTAGGTTAGAAACATTTCTAGAAATTACCTGCTCTATCCATTTCACAGTTATCACACATATGTTGACAATGACTTTTGTCCCACTCCTCTCCAAAATGATGAGCTATCGTGGTTCGTCTACATCTGAAAGTGAGTTTCTTGTGATAAATCCAAACAAACCACTATGTATTGCAAATAGAGAGGAAAGACTAGATATACACAACTTAAGAAATGACAGATTTCCCCATATACTATCTTAGCAAAGTGTTTAACTTTATTAATTCACTCTCTTTGTTTAGATGTAAAATATGAGATGTTTTCATACATCACAAAGTTAACTTCTTTTTCTATATTAGACCACACTCGCAAGAGTCGTGAAATTACTACAAGGTTCAGATGACACAAAAAACATGGAAATTACAAGTGGCTTGACCATTAAAATACATTCATATTTTGTATAAAATATTAACAACACCTGTTTTCTAGATACATTCTTTATTAACTTAACCCATATTTTGTATAAAATATTATCAACACCTGTTTTCTAGATACATTCTTTATTAACTTAACCCATATTTTGTATAAAATATTATCAACACCTGTTTTCTAGATACATTCTTTACTAAAGTAACCCATATTTTGTATAAAATATTAACAACACCTGTTTTCTAGATACATTCTTTGTTAACTTAACCCATATTTTGTATAAAATATTATCAACACCTGTTTTCTAGATACATTCTTTATTAACTTAACCCATATTTTGTATAAAATATTACAAACACCTGTTTTCTAGATACATTCTTTATTAACTTAACCCATATTTTGTATAAAATATTACAAACACCTGTTTTCTAGATACATTCTTTATTAACTTAACCCATATTTTGTATAAAATATT